AGTCTAAATCTGCTCTCTGCTAGCTTGTGGCCATTATTTCTTGTAACCCCCGGGGGTGCCTTGCTGAATAAATCTTCACCAATTCCCTTCTGTGCCCCCGTGATGAACTTATAAGCAGCCACAAGGTCGCCTCTCAACCTTCTCTTGCGGAGGCTGAAGAGGTCCAGGTGCCTCAGTCTCTCCTCATAGGGCTTGGTCTGCAAGCCCTTAACCATATGAGTGGCCCTTCTCTGGACCCTCTCCAGGTTATCCACATCCCTCTTGAAGTGCGGTGCCCAGAATTGCACGCAGTACTCCAACTGCGGTCTGACCAGCGCCCGATACAGGGGGAGTATCACCTCCTTGGATCTGTTCATCATGCATCTGCTGATGCACGATAAAGTGCCATTAGCTTTTTTGATGGCTTCGTCACACTGCCGACTCATGTTCATCTTGGAGTCCACTAGGACTCCAAGATCCCTTTCTGCTTCCGTGCCACCAAGCAGGTCATTTCCTAGGCAGTAGGTATGCTGGACATTTTTCCTCCCTAGGTGCAGCACTTTGCATTTCACCTTGTTGAACTGCATTCTGTTGTTTTCTGCCCATTTGTCCAACCTTGTTTTTTGACTACAGAAAAATAACAGAGCAATTCCCCTGTTGCCAAGAACTCAGCCCATAATGGGGTAGAATGGTTTTAAATCCTCTGGGTTTATATTGTGAATCATGTTTGTACACCTAACAGTGCTAACATTGGGTGGCATGCCACATCACCCTTGAAAGGATCTCACATCATCCTGGTTGAGTATCACTGCCTTAGAGCCTTGTAAATAAATGTGGGGCTGCTTGCTGCGCACAAGGTCTTCCAGGCAAAGATTTAAAAGCCAAGGCCCTTCAGGCCTGCATGAACATTAAAGATTCAGTAGCCCTTCCTAGGTTTGCCCTGGTGTCCTTGTTGAGCATCTCTGATGCAGTGTGCTGTGTGCGCTGGCTGTTCCTCCCTACCGAGTCTGGAAGAGAACATCAGAGGTGTTGCAAGAGGCCCAGACCTGTTTTCTTTACTACTTGAGTGAGACTTACTGGCTCCATTAGGGTAATAAGGTTTTAACCTGAGACTTGTAAAGAACTACCGTACTGAAACACCCATTATTAGCTTCACCAGGCAAGACATGCAGCAGGAAAGACAGCAAAGAGAATGCATTCAGGGCCTGGGAATCAGTCCTTTTCTCTGTTGCTTATTGGTATTTTGCCCTGCATTGAGCAAAAGGAGAGCAACTGCCTGAAGCTCAGTTTATGAAGATCCATTGAGCCTGGTTAAGCCAGGGTCTGTCCATGCTGTAAGGTACCCATGCCCCAGGTCCTGGCTCTGAGGAACCACTCAGAATGGTCCTTCAGTGCCACCCAGACCACTTGCCCTTTTCTTGCCCTTCTTCTGAGGGGAATAATGTGGGTTTTAATGTAGTTTGGGAACACTGGGCGCATCTACACGAGACACTGACTGCGCAGTAGCCCGATGCTACTGTGCAGTAGCGCCAGGTGGCAAAAACCATGACGCGATGCTACTGCACAGTAGTATTAGGCTATTGTGCAGTAACAGCACAAAAAGGCATTTGCCGGTGCTACTGCACATTAACTCAGGTTACTGCACATTTATTTAGAACTTGTTTATAATGCCTGTGCAGTAGTGTCTCGTGTAGACATGGCCGCAGTGTCCTAAACCAGACTGGGAAGCACAGAGAGCACAGGCAGTCTTGTTTCCCCAGCCTCAGGAGATGCAACCAATAATCCCAGATTATCTCAATTAAAAGAGAGGAAGAGGGAGAGGTTCTCTCATAATGATCACAGACAGCACCCAGGATGTTTTTCAGCACAGAAAGAGCTGCATCACACCTTTCACCTCTGAATTTGAATCCCAGACCTGGTAATTAGGAGAGACAGAAGCAATTACCAGCTAAAGCCTCTGTAGTGACTGGTGTGAAACGAATGGGTGGCCTCTACTCAAAAGGAAAGAATTGAGGCCCTGATTACCTGAAGTCAGTGGAAGTTGTGCCACTGAGTTCGGCGGAGGCAGAGCAAGAGTGTAAGCACACCGCGTGGAGATAGATGGGTGCAGCCTCCCCCAGTTCAGAGGCAGGCCTGTTTGCAGGGGGTAGAGCGGGCGGGATGTCAGCTTTGGTGCAGTGCCTAGTCAGAGGCCAGCGGGGCTGTTGAAGAAGACAGCCATGAGGTGCGCTAAATTCACACCGTTCTGCTTCACCCCCGGCCAAATTCCCATTTAACTTAGTGTGAACAAGACCATCCCTGCAGGCTGTGGAGTACTGAGGATAGCACGGCCTGAGTGGAAGTGTTGTTAATGAAGAGATGCCTCTCTATGTACCCTTCCTGAGTACATCCACTGAGGCACGCAGACTAGATGACAGGGTTTCAAATTAATGCTCGCTTGAGGCCACTTTTCACACAGAGTGACTCCCTCCTTCCCCTTGCTGCGGTCATTCCTGGCCCTCGCTGTCAGCACCTGGCGCACACCCACGGTCTCCAGCTAGTAGGGCAACAGTGCAGGGTCAATGGGGGCCAGGCCCTGAGTCACTTGAGCTTCCTCTTGTGCCAGCGTTCAATGCAATCGTTTATTCTGTCTCTTGGAGGGCCACGCAACCTAATGTGAGACAGCCATCAGGAAGGAGGCAGAAACGGGGCAGGTCTCAGCTGCTTTTCGTGATTAAATGGATATTTTTAGCTCCGTTCCCAGAGCTGAGATTGCCCTGTGTGCTCCAGACATTGATTCCTTTCTCCACTATTATTTTTCCTTTGAGTGTGTGTGGGGGGGAGGGTAGACATGATAGAAAGAGATGAGGAACTGGATTATTTTTATTGCCTTCTCAGTGACTTGGTTTCAGAGGAACTTGGGCTCGAGTTTCTACACAAAGATTGTCACTGCCTGTTGGGTAATTTTTGGGAGTGGGTCGTTTGGCTTTGCAGCAATTGAGGGGTGATGGAGTTCAAGCTGGAAGGCATGGAAGGGCAGAGGCAGGCAGTAGGTGTTTGGGGAAATGAAAAAGCCAGCCTGTCTAGCTCTAATGCTGTCCATACAAAAGTCTTGGCCAGTGCGTCATTACCTTGTGCACTTTCAAAGTCTCTTGACTGCCTCCCTAGCTGCTGACTTTCAGAGCCATAGGATAAGCCTTGAATGTCTGCATTCTGCACTGGAGGTTAAAGTAGCTTAAATTTCCCCTAAGAGCACAGCCAGCTGCTATGTCGGTGTCTGGGCTGCAGTGCTTTGAGCTTGCTTGTGCTCATGAAGCAGAAGGAGGATTTCCTTCCTCATTGCCAGGCTGGCACACCTGCAGTGGAGCTTCCAGCAGAGGAGCGCTGCAGAAGGCAGTGGTTGAGTTGCTGGGTAACTTGCTGAAGTTTTTGAGGTGAATTTCAAATGGTGCAGGTGCAGCTGCAGCCACTTGATTTGTAAAGTGCAAAATGAAGAGGACCCTCAGTACTGCCTTACCGCTATGCCAAAGGCTGTGCACCATTGCCAAAGGCTATGCCAAAGGCCGCGCACCATTGTTCCACACTGACCTACACTACTGGGTGCTAACAAGCTGTGCTGGGGTAAATCCGACTCATAAGATGCCTAGATGCCTTCCACTGTTGCTCTCAGTTTTCAAATAGAGCTCAGTGCTTCAAGAGCCACTTGGTTTAGGATGGAGCACTGAAGGTTGGAGCTTGTCTGAGGCTGCATCCCCATATTAAAGTAAAAGCCTGTAGAAATCTTCCTCTTAGATGAAGTGTTGTCTTTGGGCTCTGGGAAGGTTGCCAAGGCAGTCCTTGGTTGGACAAAGGTCGGGCCCTGAGTTGGACATGACCTGACTGGTGTGTAACAGATGGGCCTTTTGTGAGTCATGTTCTTTGGTCTTTCCTTGGGGCAGCAGGCAGAGGAGAAGACAGCTGGGCTCACCCCCTCTCTTCTCTCCACAGTATGAAGTGTCTGGCGAGGAGCACCTCTACTCCGATTTCCCTGAGATTGATTTGTCCCAGTTGGACGCTGGTGATTTTGACTCTGCCAGCTGCTTCAGCGAGCTGCAATGGTGCGCCGAGCACTCCGAGACCGAGTCCAGCCAGTACAGCACAGATGACTCTGAGCTCTTACAGGTACTGTAAGCTGCCAAGCTCCTTGCCCCAAGAGAGAAACCATAAAGAGGCACTGCTGCTCTAGGGCACATCTTTCCTTCTGAGTCTCCCTCCTCCCCACCCACAAAACCTGCTGGGAGCTCACTGATGGCCACTCAAAGGGAACACATCTCTGCAGGGTGGGCATGTGGGCCCCTCGTCTAGCCAAAGGTGGCCATAAGGACTGCAAAGCAATGTGGGGCTAATCTGTGCCCTGGCCCTTATATCTGAATCAGCTGAAGCCAAAGGAAAAGCCTCCTGTTTATTTTAGGGCGCTTTGGATCAGGTGCTAGTTCAGGACCAGACTCCGAGAGGCCCTGTCTTCTCTTCAAACTGTTCAGATGGGCCCTGCCAGGCAGACCAGGAGGTGCTGAAGTCCCATTTGCTTTCACGTGGATGGGTGCAGCAAATTCCTTAAGACCTGCAGCCTGGAGTGAGCACAGGCAGCACAAGGCCGTCTGCAGCTATCTACTTAGAATTGCTGCATGCATGGCCCATTGGGGCCAGGACAGCCCTGCAATGCAGGCCACAATTGGGTCTTCTGCTGCCTAGCACCACTAGCCCTGAAACTCCTCATCAGGTGGCAGTGACTTTTTCCCCTTCCTTCTCCTGGCTCAGTGTGGGGAAGTAGAGAAGAGGTGGTGGGGTGGGGAGGGGGTTCAGGCTATTAATATCTCTTCCCCAGCTGATTAGCGCTCCATTAATTTGCACTCCATTTCTAAATGGAGCAAGCGGAGTAAGGCTAATGAGGAGGTGGAAGAATAGAAGAAGGCTGCTGAGCCAATCCTCCTGTGATGTATTATTAAAAGGAAATTACAGGATAGTGCCTCGCGCATCCTGTTTGATTCGGAATCTGACAGCTTGTGCTGGGGCGGCGGCGGCAGTTTCTGAGAGGCTCAGCCGCGCCGGCACGGAGTGGCATGGCACAGGAATGTTAATTGCCAGCACGCACAAAGCACCTTCCCTTTTATCAGCCTCTCCAGCTTCAGCATCACCTCTGCATCTCTGCGCACACGTTTATTTATAGCGGAGGCTCCCTCTCAATGAGCCGCTCTCAAAATAGCCCTGCCTGCAGCCCACCAATAGCCCGATCTGTGCTCAGCCAAGCGCTGGCAAGGTGGACAGTGAAAGCCTGCCTACTACCTCAGACAGCCCTGCAAGCAGACTCCATGATGGGGCATGGAGAGCCAGCTTGGTCTCAGGGGTTGAACACAGGCCTGAGTGACAGACCTGGTGGTTTGCCCAGCCCTGCCATTGGCTTCTTACGTGACCTTAGCAGGCAGCTTTGCCTGGCCTCAGTCTCCCTCACAGATAGAGGTTGCTCCCCCCAGTGAAGGGCTCTGAGGTCTATGATTGAGGAGAGCGGCTTTCACACTCATCTTTATCCTCATATTGTGTATATCTCTGCCAATGCATGGAAAAGATCCTGGTGATCAGCGTGCACACTGACAGGCACATGTGCCCACATCAGTGGTCGTGAATAAACACAGTGCTTACAGAACAGAGCTGGATTCAAGTCACAATGTTTGGATCCAGGCGCAAATCCAGATCCCCACTTCATCAACCTTTTGGGGAGTCTCTGGATTTGGGATCCCAACTCAGATTCTTCTCAATATCTGACATCACAGCCCAGCGGGGTTTGGCAGTATGCAAGCTCAGCAGTCTGCTCCAGGCCCCTCAGGCAGAAACACTGGCTGGTAGCATTAGAGGGAATAACCAGCATGAGTGCTCATCAAACCCCAACTCTGGTGGCCCTTTAAGGTGGTTGGCACGTGCAATCCAGGGAGAGCCACAGTGTCAAGTGCTGGCTTTTTTAAAGAAAAGAAAATGAAAGATGAATTATTCTTATCCCCAGTGCTGACATTTTCCGTTAGGAGGCAAACGGACCTTGTTCTTGGATTGCCACATGGAACAGGAAGGAAGTGAGGAGGGAGGAGCTATATTGAGTGAAGAGGGAAGGGCAGGGACAGGCTAAGACATAGAGTGGCACCAGAGACTAGAACTGCTGTTGCAGCTGCAGGTGACCAGAGAGGCATTATGATCTCTCTGGAACAGGGGCTGTGACTTCTCTGGCAGCACCTGTCACACTATGGGCACTGCTACCACTGGCATTTCGCAGCAAAGGTTGGGATCATGGCAGTAGGTTACTAGTGCCAACTCCAGATGTGGGTGAGGGCGGGAGCAACAATGGGCACCCTGTCCCTTTCCCTCCTGTCAGTACCTGTTGGTCAGTCTACGATGCTTGTCTGGCCCCACCACTGAGTGTTGGAGCACCTTACAACAACCCCTGAGATCAGGAAGTGCAGTTGTCATTCTTTCACAGCTGGGAAGCTGAGATACAGCTTAGACAAGTGGCTTGGCAGAGGTCACACAGGGTTTCTACAGTAGAGCAAGGAACTGAATCTGGATCTTCCACCTCCCAGGCTGGCATCTAACCTCTTCAATACCCTCTCTTGTGTCTGTGACCTCAACATGCCACATCCCATTCCCTTAGCTGATGGCTGCGCCTGGGAAATGACTCTCAACTGCTCTCATCACCCTTTAGCAAAGGGAGCCCAGCTCACTGATGCCCACTAGCAGCCAGTGGTCTATCTTTGCATGGTTAAATTTGTTGTAGATTTTAATAAAAATAAGAAAATGGAAAAAGCCCCAGTATTTTCTACTGTTCTCATTGCACTTTGATAATGTGCTGGTGGTGTGCTTGAAAAGGGTTCTGCTGATGACCCCTCATCACAAGATGCATATTTTCTCTTGAGCTTCCTGGGGTAAAGATAAACAGAAGAGAGAGGTGAAAGATGGGCCTGCAAGGAGTGAGCAGGAGATGAAATGTATCCTGCTG